ATCCTCCCACTTTACTTGGCCTTGGTGAGATAACAGCTGGAGTACTGTGTCCAGTTCTGGGCTCTGCAATTCAGAAAGGACGTGGAAAAGCTCAAGAGAGTCCAGAGGAGAGCATGCAAATGATTAGAGGACAAAAGAGCAGGCTTTATGAGGAGAGGTTGAGAGACACGGGACTCTTCAGCCTGGAAAAGCATAGGCTCAGGGGCGACTTGGTGGCAGCCTATAAATATATAAGGGGTGTGCATCAGGAACTGGGAGAACGTTTGTTCCCCAGGGCGCCCCATGGGAAGACTAGGTCCAATGGTCACAAACTCTTGGAAGACTCTTTTAGGTTCGACATAAGGAAAAGTTTCTTTACTGTCTGAGTCCCCAGGGCCTGGAATAGGCTCCCCCTAGAAGTGATGCAGGCACCTACTCTGGATTCCTTTAAGAAACATTTGGATGTCTACGTTGCTGGGATCATTTGACCCCTGCTGACTGCCTGCCCTTTGGGCAGGGGGCTGGACCCGATGATCTTGCAAGGTCCCTTCCAGCCCCTAATGTCTATGAAATCAGGTCCACAGCATTGGCCTTGCCCAAGAAGTCCATTATGGTAACACAAAACAGTGGTTATCCACCTTTCTGTACTCCAGGCCCCATCAGGACATGCCAGATCATAACTTTCATTCATTTCTTGACTCTGGAAAAATTCTAGAGCAATTCTTCTGTTGCAAAGCCCTCAGCAAGCCCATGGCAGGGCAGGGTGGTTTTGACACTGGATTCCTACTGGAAATATCTGGGTTCACCTTGTGAATCAAGTGTAGGTATTTGCACCCCTAACAGTGCTCATATTGCGCAACAGCAGCAGCCTTAAAAGGACCTCAAAGCACCCCAAGTTTAGAGTCACCACACAGAGTGATACTCACTCAGCCTGATATGATCAGCCTTTTCAGAAATCCAGCTTGCACCTTGTCCCGTTTCCCTTTTCTTTCCATGGTTTAAAATGTCTTTCCCTTCAGTGCCTGCTCTAAGATCTTACGCACAGCTGAAGCCAAGCCAACTAACCTGTAAGTGCCTGGATTGCATGCTTCCTTTTCTGGAAGCAGGCACTCTCTTTGTTATTCTCCTCTCACAACATGCTAGCCCCCAGTTCCAGAAAAGATCTGTGCTAAAAAGTTGCTGTTTCACATGACAATGCCTTCAGGGGGCCTGGATAGAGAGGACGCAACCCTCATATTTGGTTTCAGCACAGGCTACGTTTTGCTTCTCTCTCTCATGTGGTATTTTCTGCATTCCGGTATCCTCGGCTGCCTCTTCACCCTGACTAAAGGCAAAGCACTTGCTCAGTACCAAGCCGCATTAGGGCTGCCTGTGATCTCTGCCTCTCCTTCAGTGGCCGCACTTCTCTCCTGGTTCTCTCTGTATTCAAAAGCTCATCCAACTATATCCCAACTGTACAGTTAGTCCAGTAAAAGATATAACCCTAAGAAATCCTTGCCTCTCACGTAATTTCTGGATGCTTACAGTTACCTCACTCACAAACTGCTGTTTATATGACCAAAGACACCTTTGCTGCTAATTTGAATCTTCCTCACAAGATCAAGCCCAACCAGGCCTTTGGCCATTCATGCTGTTCCTGCACTCCTTGACCAGACAGGCTGTCTCCCTCCTCCCTACCCAGCCCCACCTCCCATGTCTCAGCCCCAACACAAGGCTGCCATTCACCCCAGGCATACTGTGGCCCTTCCCTATCAATCTTTCCTTTTGCTTCGGATGTTTGTACTTTTGCCATGAAATACTGTAGCTCCACGCTGCTTCCACACCCGAGTCTCTCCGCTCTCAAATGCAGTCGACCACCTTAAATAATTGCCTGTTTCTCAGTTTGTCCTCCTGAAGGCCAAGCCCTTGCTAGAGGCCTGTTTTGTCCTGCCTGCAAGTAAGATTAAATTGGATCAGCTTGTGTCCACTTGATCCCTGAGCATCTTCCACAGCCCAAGGTTCTTCTACAGCAGGGGCATCAAATACCATGGACCAAATGAGGGCACCGAGCCTGTCTGCAGGACCGACCCCAGGGCATGTGCAGCACCCACAGTGTCAGGTCCAGCCCATGGCACCACAGGCAATGTGGATTGGCTTCGCTCCGGGGGACTCTCTGTATGCACCATGCAGGCTGGACTTGGGACTGCACACAGCAGAGAGGGGAGGTCCAGGGCGTGGACTGCATGCAGCGTCCTGTTGGACATGCCTGAACGCTGGCTGTGGGGGTGATCCAGATAGGCGACAGGATGCCTGTACACGCTAGAGCCAGCACACAGGGCTGGTCTGGCAGGGGCACCTCATGCAACCCATATTCTGGACTGACCCCTCAGGCTGTGTGCAGCTCACAGGGCTGGGGCCAGCATGTGCACCATGAAGCATGTGTGGGGTTGGTCTGGAGACCCACAGGCTGGATCATACAGCTCCATGGGCCAAATCCAGCCCACAGGCTGTATATCAGACAACCCTGTTACATAACAATGGTCCTCAGCCTTTTCAGACTCAAGGCCCATGTTGGGATAGGCCAGTTCTTAGTTTTCAATCATTTTTTGACAGTGGGGGGGAAAAAAAAAACGAACAGAAGAATTTTTCTGTTGCAAAGAGCTGAGAGAGGCCACAGCAGGACAGAATGTTTTTAATACCCTGGTTTCCTGTTTGAAATCTCAGGGCTTATCTTGTGAATCATGCTTGCAAACCTACCCATGCCAGTGGTGTGTGGCATCCGCAGCACGTTGGGAAGGATCTCAGGGCACTTCAGGGTGCTGCAAACCCCTTGTCAAGAATGGCTGTTCTACAGGGTCCTTGCTAAGAGCCAAAACTTCACCTAAGGTAGCTTTGCCTCTCATTAGGACAGCAGCCACCCGACAGAGAAACCTGCCAGCTAAGTCATTTGGAGATTAATGCATCTCACAGCAGGCGGGGAGCGAACCAGGACACTGAAGCCTCTCCCAGGATTACACATTGCTGCTCCTAAAATCCCCCAAGACTGAGATCCCCACATAAGATCCCCACATAAGATCCTCACTGAGATTCCCACATAAGATCCTGCAGGTCCATCACAGACCCCCGACAGTCTCTCCAAGCACAGTTGCTTGTTCCTCCCTCATATGCCTCTCATCCACACAGACTGTTTCATCTGTGCTGCTGCAGCTACTACCATCCAGCCTTTGCCCATTATGGGGGCCCCGGGGAAGGGCTTTACTGTTGACCATTCAGCCAAGGCATCCCATTCCCTTGCTCAGCCTTAGAAGGGGACAGCCTGGTTCCCTGCCCCCTCGCACAGAGCGATCCAACCACCTAGCTCCACAGGCTGGATCTGGCCCACACTGGACACCCCTGTTGTACAGCGATGTCAGACTCAAGGCCAAGTCAGGAAATGCCAGCGCTCCTTTGCAAACTCTTCACATGTGTGTAAACAATAGCAGAGTTGTGGGGGAGGCAGGTGAAGCAGAGAGCAGGGACAGGGCCGAGCACAGAGATGGCCCCGGCAGGCCAGGAGCCAAAACACTAAAGTCACTGTGGCCAGCTCCAGGCAGCGCTGCAAATCCTGCTACCTCCATCACCGCGCACCCCCCACATGCACTCTGCCAACAGCGGGAGCAAGGAGCTGCGTGGCAGAGCCCAGGAAGTAGGGCTCCCAGCTTTGCCACAAAGGCAACCTTCCCCTGAGCTGGCTTCACACACAGTCCAGGTCACAGCAGCTGTCCTTGTGTGGGGCTGGAGCTCCCTCTAGCATGGGAAGAGGGAGCTGCAGAGCTGGCAAAGGAAGGGGCCTCCCCGGCTGGGCCTGCCCAGGAGCAGCCCAGGAGCCATAGTCACCCACCCAGGTAGCAGTGGATCCAGTGGGTGCAACAGTGCTTTGATTCCTGCTCCACCAAAAATGGAAAACCCACTTCCCCAGAGGAGAAGTGAAGTAATCAGGCAGGGCTACGGGAATCAATTGACTTTATGGCTCATTAGCATCTCCTCCATTCCTGCAAATCTCTCTTCCTTCCACAGGTGTCAATGACCCTCTCTCCTTTTTAATGGTCTTGATGTTTTACTAATCAAGCTATCCCTTCTCTGGCAATTTTGCTGTGTTAGTCATTCCTGGCAGTCTCCTCTGGTTTACAGGTCTGCAGACTGATTTTAGCTTTAGCTAGAAACCTTCATTCAGATGTAGATATGACTGACAGCAAAGTGTTGGATACATGGTCAAGATGCTCAAGAAGGCAAGATTTTGTTTAATGAATTTGAATAAGAGATGGACATTTAACTATAACGACTACAAGACTAACAATACAATACGTTTGGACTATTTTTGTCCAGTTTGTTGTTTTAAAAACTTAATATATAATCTAGCAATTACATGCATGTTCCAATAAAAAGCATGGACTAAATATAGACACTGGATTTATGACACATTATAACCTGCCTGACATCAGACTCCCCAGGTACCTCTCCACTATTTACCACCTACATTCATCTCTCTTCTCTCCCCCCGCACCCAGCCTGTCTCTCACCCACTGACGACTCAGTTTACATCTTTCCTGACTGCATGTCTTGCATGCACACCAGCCCAGCCTCTGGCTTCTTTACTTCTCATTCAATCCAGGAAGAGCACACACCAACTGCAGGGGCTTCCTCAGTCTGACAAAGGGTTTTTAAACCCAAAAGCTTGCTAAGAATTTTTTTTTCCAACTATTTAAGTTGGTCTAATAAAAGATATGAGATTCACACAAAGAACCTTGTCTCCCTATGTTCCAATAAAGGTATATTTATTTTTACTTTAGTCTTAAACTGAATAATATAGCGCTGGGCCCCTAGCGTTACTTAGACTTCTAGTTACTCCTTAACCAGAGAAAAATGTGTTGTGTTATATGTGATGATGCATCAAATCATTTGCACCCTCCTTTTCAAAATCCTAGATCCTTATCTGCCTAGATCCACCCATGCACCCTGGCTTCCCCGCACACCCATCAAGCCACCCCTGCAGCCCCACGTACCCGTGTAGAAGAGGAACTGGATGAAGTATTTCTGGTTTAATTCGCCCACGCAGTTGTTTATCCTACAGAGAGAGAGCGCGCGTGACGGGGCTGCATGACCCTCCCACCCCAGAGGTGCAGTGAGGCACGGTCTCTGCCTACCATTCAAACAGCGCTGCTCTGGGGAGAGGTCAGCTCATTACGCCCCCTGTGAGGGAGCAATAGGGAAGGCCCTGCAGTCCAGGGACCCTGCTGGTGACTGCCCAGGATGCATGGGCCAAGGGCTAATGAGCAGGCTGCTCTGGAGTGCACACATACAGCTGGGCTGCAGGTTCCAGCCACTCTGGGAGAAGGCAGAGAGCAGCACTGGGAATAAGATCATTGCTGCCTGAAAGACGCCTACCCCCTCCAGGGCCCAACACTGCTGCCTGCAACCATGGGGTGCCCCCCCACCAACCCAGTTGGCATGCTCTCAAGGGGCAGGGCTCAGCAGGGGCAAGGCTCTGGGAGCTGGGATGAGGGGTCATAAGTGCCCTGCTGCCCTCCTGGTTTGCCCTTCCAAGAACTGGAAGTCACTGCTGCACTGTCAGAGCTTGGCAAGGGTCTGTGTGTGCTCAGACCCAGACCATACCCCGCCAGTCAGGGGCAATGGCAGCACAGAGCAGGGCAGGGAGATCAACTCCGAACCCCCAGTGCAAGGGAGCAGACAAGGCAGCTGCAGGCAAGGGTAGATTCCACCGTGCTGCCAATGCAGGGCTCTGCTGTGAGGCCAGACACATACACACGTGCGTGTACCAACATATGACTCAGCCCTGAGAGCTTGCTCTGCAGCCAGTGAGCCTGGTGATAGAGGCAGGACCCATCCCAGGCAGTGTTCATATGAGCAAGTGACCTTGGCTCCCCCGTGTGAGCAGGGCAGGGTGGGGCCTCACCAGGGGCAGTGGTGATCCATGCGGCGCACGCAGCGGTGGCAGATGCGGCAGTGGTGCGCTCGGGGTGGCCGGTACGTCTCACAGCGATTGCACACTGTCCAGTCCTCATTGCCCTGGGGAGCGCGAGAAAGAAAGAAATCAGCTGGCAGCTCCTCACAGCCAGCCTAGACAGCAAGGCCTGGACCCTGGGGACCAGCAGCGCAGGGCTGGGCAGCAGAAAAGACAGAGTGGGAGCCCCGTTGCTGAGGAAGCCAAGAACTGAACGAACTGAACCTTGGCAAGCAGAATGCAGGGCACAATCCCAGCTTGGCTGCCACAAGCCAGCCCACTAGTTGGTTTGCCCCAAGTCACAGGCCTGCAAGCCCTGTCCTGAGGAAGCCAAGCCAGCACTGCAGAGCTGCAAGCACAGCCTGCCCTGGCCCTCCTCCGCTGTGAGCTCCCTGCTGTTTTGCTGGGGACTCTCAAGTCTCTTTCACTCCATGCCGCACTGCTCTGCAGGCACTTCAGCCTCCCCCCTCTTCCCTATACAACACGCCAGAGACCAGGCCCCAGGAGCAATTCTGATGGAGCCTTGCCATCAGCAGCACCAGGGGCACATGCTCATTTCAAACCCATCTCCATTTACTGTAAGAGCACAAGAGCCTCACGGCCCTGGTGGGGGCTGGAGAGGGGAAAGCCAGCCACAGCCTGCACCACCACAAGGGAAAGCCACACTCTGCTGGAGTTTGAGGTAGGTACATGCCCTGGCTAATCCAGGAGGCAGCAGCCCCTGTGGCACCGCTGCGAGGCTGGATTCTGGTTCTTCATAGCTTGTACTACGACACTGGAGGCAGCTGCCAGCTCAGCGGCTCTCATCCCATGGCAGGCTAGCTATGGTGCATGGTCTCCACCTCCACCTCCCAATGCCACAGGGTGCTCTGGTGCAGGTGGAATGTGCAGGGTAGCAGTCCCTGCACCCATGGGCCACACTGCTCCCAGCACCAGAAGGACCTAACATTACATGGAGCAGAAGCTGCCACTACAGCTGGACCAGTGCCAGGGCAATCCAGTAGTACTAGCCCTGCAGTACCCCCAGGGGAGTCTCTCCCTAACTCCCCTCCATCTCCCAGCTGATGTCAAGGCGCAGGGGCCTGAACCCCAGCTGCACAACTAGAGGGGCTGCTCTAACACCCATGGCCACAGACCCCAGAGGCTTACTAAGATCCTGATCCATATCCCTCAGGGCAGTGAATGCAGCTGTTGCCCCAGGTCTCCCACAACCATGTGCAGCGCAGAGTGCTGAAGGGAGCTCACCCGGTCATTCTTGTGGGGCGTGCCACTGCGCAGATCAGAGAAGTCGATAGCGGTGTCAGGGAGAGGGACCATGCCTGGAAACCACAACACGAGGCAGTGAGAGCAGCCAGCTGGGTGTCGCTGCTTGCTGTCAGCAGCACCTGCCCTGACTCAGCAGGCACAGTACTAGTTGGGGCAGATCCACCTCAGCTGCAGCCTGTGCCCATCTTGGGCATCCTTGCACACACAGCCCAACCCCAGCCCTCTACACCACCAATTCCACCTCAACATGCTGTCTCCCAGTCCTCCAAAGGACAAGGAGCACAGTGGGGGAGCAACTGGGGTCAGGGTTCAGAGAGGCTGCATCACAGCTGGAAGAAGAACCCAGAAATCCTGGCCCCTGATCCGCAAAACCCTGCAGCCATCCTCTGACACCCCCATAGTGACCCTGGGAGGTTCACACAAGGTGGTGGAGACACCCCCTGCCATACTATCCCCTCCCCGCTACTGACCCAGGCATCTGGGAGGCAAAAGAAGCTGAAAAATCAACCCCCTCTCTCCAGAGAGCTCTAACGGGGAGAGAACAGCTTTTACACTGGCTGCTGAGTAGCTGGCTGATCAGGGCAGACAGCCCTGGCAATCCCCTGCCCTGCTGCCTGGCCAGCCTATGCCTCCAGAACAGACAAGTGCTTGGTTCACCACAGAGAAAGCCTCCTCACTAGCTACCTTCTGTTTGCCACATCCTGAAGTCAAGCCTCCTGCCATCCCAGTCAGACCAGCCTAGCTGGGCAGGGCCATGCCCCAGAGACAGCAGGAAGATCTGGGATCAAAAACACACAGGCTAGTTTGGTGGAAGAAAGCAGGATACATTTGCACCTTATAGACCAACTTAATCAAATATGCATAAGCTTTCATAAGCAGCAGCTCGCTTCATCAGCTGCTTCAGAGGGGCTGCCATCCCTGCCAGCATAGCCCCTGACTAAGTGAGCTGCGGCTTATGAAAGTTTACACATTTTTGATTTGGTTGGTCTAGAAAGTGCAAATCTACCAGGCCTTCCTCCTGACTAATGCAGCTCACTCCCTCTCTCTGTTAATGGGAAAAGTCAATGATGTCCCTCCAGAAAGGAACAGGATCTTCTCACAAGTGCACGGCCTCTCCTCTAATGTTTCAGCCAGAGATCCTGGCGTCCTTCCAACAGCAGGGTGGGGAAGGAACTCTGGCAAAAAGTCACCCAACAGAGAGCTCAAATCTTCCTGCAACCCTGTGCTAACACTACAGCTGTCACTGCCCCCACCCAGCTTGAGCAGAGGAACAAACCACAGGCAGGAACGTACCTGGATCAGCAAACACAGCTCGTGTGTGACAGGCCAGCAGCATGAAGACGATGAGGTTAAACGCCACCGCATGGAATGGGCACCAGAGGCTGGAACCAAAAGAGCAACGCCTGTCAGACGTGCAGCCCAGCACCAGATCGCCTGTCCCTGGGCTCCCCTGGGGCTGGAGAGAGCAAGCAGCTGGGGTCATGGAGGCAGGGAGCCACACCAGGTTCTCAGCATCCTGGGCTGCATTGGTGGGAGCGCTGCCAGCAAATCGAGGGCAGTGATCTTTCCCCTCTATTCAGCACTGGGGAGGCCGCAGCTCGAGTCCTGTGTCCAGTTTTGCCCGCCCCCCCCAGAAAGGATGTGGACAAACTGAACAAAGTCCAGTGGAGGGCAACAAAAATGGTTCGGGGGCCAGGAGACATGACTTGTGAGGAGAGGCTGAGGGAACCGAGTGTATTTAGTCTGCAGAAGAGAAGACTGAAGGGGGGTTTAATAGCAGCCTTCAACTCCCCGCAGGGGGACTGCACAGAGGATGGAGGTGGGCTGATCTCAGTGGGGGCAGGTGACAGGACAAGGAGCAATCGGCTCCAGTTGCAGCCAGGGAAGTTTAGATTAGATATCAAAAACTTCTTCCGTGAGAAGGGTAGCAAATCACTGGAACATGGTCCCCAGAGAGGTGATGTGGTGCAGTCTCCATCCTGAAAGGTTAAGACCTGGCTAGACAAAGCCTTGGCTGGGATGATGTAATCGGGGCTGGCCTGCTTGCAGCCGCGGGCTGGACTAGATGTGACCTCCTGAGGTCCCGTCCGACCCTCCTTTCTAGGACTATGACCAGCAGGGCCCTGCACAGCACGACACTGAACGCACTGCAGAGTCGTTTAACCCGGCCAATAAAGCACGGACATTAATATCAAGAGGAACTGCACCATCCTCCCCTGCGCGCACCCAGGGGCAACCGGAAGAGCTGAATGCGGAGTCTGGCGGGGCGGGGCTGGGCGTGGGCGAGGGCACCGTGCTGGCGGTGCCACCGCCCATGACACGGGCCAGCGGTGCCCGGCAGCCC